TGTTGAGAAGTTAATAATCAGTCAAATTGCTAGTTAATATTAGGTGTTCTGTGTTTCTCTCCAATTTTTTTAAAGATTTATATTAATAAAACTGAAATTCACATTTGAAAAAATATTATAAATAAAAAAAACACACACAAAGGATTAATTAGGAAAAAAACATTACAAATTAAGTTTAAAATCTTAATATGTAAAAAACTCATAAAATCAATAAGGAAGCACACTAGTCTAAAAATTGATAAAGGAAGTGAATATTCTACTTACAAATGAGGAAATACAAAGTTAATAACTATATATAAAATGTTTAATATTGCTATTAAGCAAAGAAATATACTACAAATAATGATTTATCATTTATTGTTTATTACACTGAGAAAAAAATCAAAATTATACTACCAAGATATAAGAAATCGTGCACTTTTTACAACTATATTGAAGCATAATTTACATACCATACATTTTATTTTCTGGCACTTTGTAAGATCTCTGTTTTCTGTTATTATGATGTGTTAAGTACAGATTTCTTTTTATTCATCCTGCTATGATGTGTTAGTATAAATTTCTTTTTTTTCATCCTGCTAAGGATTTGTTTCGGTTCCTAAATTCAAGATTGATATTTTTAAATATTTTGAGATTATTTTTGGTATTCTACTTGAAACATTTCCTTTTCTTCATTCTCTATAATCTCCTTCTGAGCTCCAATTATATATATTCTTACTCTATCCTCCATGCTTCTTAACTTCTACATTTTTATGTTTCTGTCAATCTGAGCTGCCTTCTGGATAATTTCTTTAAATACTTTCACCTAGTTCCCTAAATTCTCTCTTCAACTGTGTAGAATCTACAAAAGATTAATGAAATTGTTTTTCATTAACAAATTAATTTCACTAATTCCATTAATGGAAATTAATTTCCATTAATTTTTTTCAGCATTTTTCATTGTTAATGTATAGAAAACACAACTGATTTTTGCATGTTGATCGTACCTTGGCTGAACATATTTATTATTTCTAATGGGTGTTTGTTTTTGTGGAATCTTTTGTGTTTTCTACATCTAGGAAAGATCTTATCAAACAGAAGAAAATTTACTTCTTTCTTCCCAATTTGGATACCTTTTATTCCTTTTTCTTGCCTAATGCTCTGGCTACAACTTCCAATAGTATGTTTAATAAAAGAGGCAAAAATGGGCATCCTGGTGTTGTTCCTGCTTTAGAGGAAAAGCCTTCTTCAGTTTTTTCACCATTGAATATGATGTCAGATGTGTGTTTTTTAATATATGGTCTTTATTATGTTAGGGTAGTTTCCTTCTATTTGCAGTTTAGTTTGTTGAGCGTTATTAACATGAAAGCATGATGAATTTGTCAAATGCCTTTTCTGTATCAATTGAGATGCTCATGTGTTTTTTTTATCATTTATTATGTTACTGTGGTATATCGCACTGGTTGCTTTTTGTATGATAAACTATCCTTGCTTTTTAGGGATAAATTCCAGTTGGTCATGATGCATAATTCTTTTAATATAGTGCCGAATTTGGTTTACTGGGATATTGTTGAAGATTTTTGCATCAATGTTCATCAGGAATATTGGTCTGTAGTTTTCTTGTAGTTTTTTTCTTCTGTCTTTGATATCAGGGTAGTGCTGGCCTCACAGAATTAGTTAGGAAGTGTTCCCTTCTCAACATTTTGGAGGAGTTTGAGAAGAATTGGTGTCCATTTTTTTTTAATGTTTGGTAGAATTATTCAGTGAAGCCATCTGATAGTGGAATTTCATTTGTAGGTAGGTTTTTGATTACTGATTCAATCTCCTTACTAGTTACAGATATATTTAGATTTTCTTTGTCTTTGTGATTCAATCTGGTAGGCTTTGTATTTGTAGGCATCTGTCCATTTCATCTAGGTTACACAATATATTGGCATACAATTGTTCATAGTACTCTCTTATAGTCCTTTTTATTTCTGTAGAATTGGTAGTAATGTCTTCACTTTCATTTCTGAGTTTAGTAGTTTGAGTTATGTCTCTTTTTTTTCTTAGTCAATATAGCAAAAGTTTATCAATTTTGTTGATCTTTTTGAAGAATCAATATTTTGCTTAGTTGATTTATCTGTATTGTTTTTCCATTTTCTATTTTATTTATTTTTGTTTCAATCTTTATTAGTTTCTTCATTCTGCTAGCTTTGGGTTTTGTTTCTTCTTTTTCTAGTCCCTTAAAAATTGTAACATTAGGTGGTTGTTTTGAGATCCTTCTTCTCTAATGCAAGCATTTACAGCTATAACTTTCCCTCTTAGCATTGCTTTCTCTGAATCACTTTAGGTTTTGGTAGGAATCATGGAGCCAGAGAACAGTGGAATAACATTTTTTTTATGTCTGAAAGAAAAGAACTGTCAATCCAGAATTCTATATCTAGTGAAAATATCCTTCAGGAAGGAAGGTAAGATAAAGGCATTTTCAGACAAAGAGAAGTTATTAGAAGGTGTTTCCAGCAGATCTGCTCTAAGTGGAACTCTCACCCATTAACAACACAACAACGATTAACACTTAAATAAGACTTATTATAAATCAGTTGTTGTTCTTAGCACTTTACATAGACTAACTCACTTAATCCAAGAAGGTTGGTACTATTAACATCCTCACTATACACGTGAGAAAACAAAAACAAAAAAGATGTTAAGTAGCTACTAACTGGTAGAGCCGTGATAGAACACAAGCCATCTGCCTTCAGAGATACTTAATACTATCTTCCAATTTACTTGTACAACACAACTTGTAGGAAATTAAGTTAACCAAGTAGATGAAAACAATTAGAAACAGATTTAGTGATTTTCAAAAATTATTTTATTTAATTCTGCTCTCTAGAGATAAAAATAGGAATGCAAGGCACCAACTTGATGCATTACTTTACCTTGAAAAAACTGTATTAGAACTAAGATGAAATACTGATTTATCAGCAGTAACCTTAACAATAAACATTTTTTGAGGACTTACTATGTGTCAGAAGTTATTTGGGGAGCTGAGGATGTAAAAATTAATAAGACAAAACTTTTTAAAAAAATCTGTATTTCTGTAGGTAATACAGATAAGTAAATGATTACAACATAGCATGTGTTGTAACAGAAACATGTATGAAGTCCAAAGTCCACTCAAGGTAAAAATGCTATAGGGAAAGCAATCATCAATCCAATCATGGCTGTTTTAAAAATAGCAATTAAAAAATAAAAGGTTTTGAAAAGCACAAAAAATGAACATTCATGGAAATATTCCATAATTCCCTTTTCCATATAACTCATGTAGACTATTATCTCTTTCTAGTCTGTGAATAAACTCCCAGTTAAGTCAGCAATGAACAGAAAGAAAAATCAGAAGGATCTGTTACCCTGCTGTGTATATGTTTTAATTTTCAAAGCCTTCAGCATAAAGATGATGAGTTTATTTCAAAGTACTTATAATCAGCTCCTGCTTATTAATTTTTATTTATTCACCAGTCCAGTGCTCAGTATTATGTGAATTCAAAAGGTAGAGGAGGAATAAATCTTTCAATAAGACAAAAAGTGATATTTCTATACTGGATCAAGAAAGCTATATTTAATTTAAAGAGTTACCTTAACAGTTGCAAATAACAAGTTCTCCAGGTAAACTATGGGATCCTTAAGGTGAGGCCCATACCTTATTTTTCTTTCTATCCTTAGTATCCCTAATGATTACTATGAGGCCTGGCAAATAGAATATTATGTTTGCTGAAATAGAATTATTACTATAAAAGAATTAACAAGAGATGAAATATAATTCTTTCTTGACTATATTCCTTGTATGCTAAGAAAGAGTTCTTTTATATTCAAAGATCACTACACTTAATTCCATAGAGAAAAGGGATCAAATGTGGCCCTTGACCTCATATGTGTAGGTAGTATGAGTAAGGGTTAAAAACAAAATACAAAAAACAATAAAAGAATCAATGTGAGTTCCTTAAATATCAGCATGGACTTTTAAATTTAAAATCTGTATCATGCTACTTTAATTCTATTTTTGCTCTTAATAAAATGAAATGTTGTAATATAGTACATGTGACAGCAAAGGGAATACAATAGCTAATGATCCATTTACATTTCCCTGTAGCTATACTTCAAGTGGCTGCCATTAATGGGATATAAACTTAGTCTAAGTAACAACAGGGCATTATGACTTCTATTCCACATCTTAAATAGATATATTTACTTTTATATTCATATTGTACACAGGATCAATAAATGGCTATAAATAATAATTGTGAAACTCTTCAATTATAAAGTTGCTGTGTATTTTTAGGTTGCTCTGAGATCAACTGTCTATTTAATCAATGGTCATCAAATCAACAGATTTTCACTAAGTTGACACTTCTGTCTTTAACTTAAATGATGTATGTTATCTTCATTAAAGGGAATTTTATTCTAGAGTTACTAAAATAATAACAAACAAATAACTAAACCATGAGATCGAGGATGGATAACAAAGGCATGGCTTTAAATATATTAATTTAATATAATAATAATAATGATAATAATAATAATATTAAGGTTTTTTCATGACCACATATCAATATGTCTATTTAAAAATTTTAATAAAAGTTCCTAACTTTTGAGAAAAACTTTTAAAAAACTCTGCTGTTTAATTTTATAAAATTAGTATTTAATGACAATTAATGAATATTAATGATTATAAATAATTACAAAAAAATAATAATTTTATATCTTAATAAACTGGACTGTGTTCTGGATTAGGACTGACAACTTATACCAGTAATATAATATTAATATTTTCTAATACTTTAAATATAATATGCAAAAAAAACCTTAAAGGAAACTGTGGTCAAGGTTTAACTAGACAGGATACTAAGACTTTAAATTCTGGGACTAAGAGAGGGGCAAACTCAAGTATTAGGACTCAAGTTTCTTAAGTTTATCAGTCTGTTGTAGTGACTAATGGTATGGAATTAATTTTCTTTGCAACACATTGGTGACTTTCTTACCTAGAGAGCATGCCCAGAGGTGTTACATTAAGTGATCCCATCAGCATTGCCAGGGCCATCCCTGGCGCTTCCCGCTCTATTACTTCTTTTGTGGCCTGTAATTAAAGATTAAATAGCAGACTGAGTGAAATTAGCCAAAAAGAAGGAAGAGTAGTAATTAACTTAAAAATAATTATAAACCACGCTTTCTATAATCATACTTTGTAGTTCTCCAAACATTTTTTTAAGACATCAAGACTCAGTTCTTGGGGATGGCTGAATAAAAGCTGAGGACCAGGACATACAGGGAACTTTTATATTAGAAGACCAATTCAGAAGTATTTGATAAAAGTCTCATCATGCCTAATAACCTAAATTTTAAAATTAAGTCTCAAAATGCTATAATAGCACAATAGATTTCCATAGGGTAAGAAATCTGGGTATTTTTCTTTATCTATTACTTTTGAAATAATTAATCCCTGAAAAGCTGAGATTACTTGTATCTTCTAGCTCTATGATATAATTAAAAGGAACTCAAGAAGTCACCAAGTCAACTTTTCCCATGTACTGGGTAGAAGAAAAACTCTAGATTACCATCTCCCATATCTTCAATATATATTAACTATCTGGTTGTTTTAAACAAGAATTAATGAAGTGATAGGGTTTAGGTATATAATAGAAGTTTTAAGATAGGACATTCTTAAGGCAAGTATGTTTAAACCTGGAATAAGCTAATGAAGGAGACAGAAAAATTTCATTTTCTAAATGTCAATCAAAATAGGTATATATTTATCATTCTGTGATAGTAAAGATATGTTTTAGGTTAAAAGTTAGGAGTGAAATACAAAATTGAATCCATTTCTAATCCTCTGTTTCTACAAATGTAGCTGATTACAATGCTTGGGGGCAATACAGGAATAATGCTTGCAAAAGAAAGTATTCCAGTAAATAAGAAAAAATGCAAATGAATTAAAAAGTAAATTATGGAGTAATATAGGGAAGGTTGATATTTCAGTATTTCATTAGAAGTAGAGAGATATTCATAAATAAGATTGTATTAATAGTTCTGGGTAAAAGTTAGGTGGAGGAATTGGCAAAGCAGTTAAAATATATCAAGTATGTGTTAAATACCAACTGACATTATAAATAAACTTTTAAGATGCATGTAAATTAGTTAACCCTTAGAACTATACAGAATAAAGGACTACTAGAATTGATGTAATCTACTGGTCCACTGAACCCCATCATAATGCAATACTTAACAATGACAGAAATTTTAAAGGAAAACAAACACTACCATAATGCTTTTCAATAAAACCTGTTTTCAAAATAGAGTGCCACTAGGCAGGAGAAAAGGAAATTCTTAAATTCCAAAATTTAGGAGTTAATTACTTTCATTTAAATACATGGCTAAAAATTGTCAAGTTGGCATTACCTAGAATCTATGCCTGTTTCCGAATTTAATCTATATGGTACAATTTTGAGGCCTCTGGAGAAGAAACACTATTTCCATATTATTGTGTAATGATGTACTCCGAAGTATAGTAGCACGTTTTATTTAAGGACAAGGGAAGAAAATATCGACAGATAGCTGATCGGAAGTCTTTTACCTAAACAGATACTTCAAAAGCATAATATTTATCGATCTATACATTATTTATTAAGCACCTACTATGTACTAGGTAGTATTCAAAGCATTGATGTTGCATTATTAAAAACAAACTTATAAGAGTATGTAAACTCACTGTCACCTAGTACATGAAAAACTCAACTGACAAATTACATCTGAGAACTACCTAAAAAAGATGCAATACATTGATTTTTCTAGATCCTCTAAAATACACAAGTGGACTTGGCCAGATCACAGTAGTCTACCTGGACTACTTCCTTTCACTTTTCAAGAATTGCTTTACTGGACTTTGCTTCTGTGGTACTGGTTCTGCAGTTGGATCCAGTGAAATGGCTCAGTGAAATTCACATTTACATTTGAAAGTAGTTCAGGCCACTTTTCACCCCATTGCGTTGTGGTCCTCTTTAAGAGAACCTATAGGAAAAATTTCCTAAGTGTCATAACTGAGAATGGGTACTTTTCCGTGCTACCAGTTTATTTTTGAATTATGATGCTTGTGAATCAAGTTACCCTTGAGAACAGAGACAAGGGTAACTTTGTTGGTTACCTTTTTAGTAGGCTTACTGAACACAATCTAAGTCATCTTATTTTTCCTTGCCCTATTTTTTCACATTTATCTTGTTAAAAGTTCTGTTGTATGTTATGTGTTTGGGTAAATCACTTTAAGTATAGGTATTAATAAATATATGGATGATGGATGTATGAATGAGTGAATGCATGTTTTGTTTACATAAAGGTCTTCATCTTTTTCCAAACATAATTTAGGTAGGACAGTTAACTCTTTCTGAAGACCTTCCAGAGAATTTGGGCTTATTGATACAAATCTTCAATATTTTAGAACAGAAAGGCAAATACATATTGTGATGATATCACTAAAAGGCATTGGTGCTCTCTAGGACTAGACACCAACCTTTTCAATAGGGTATTACTAAATAATGCACATGGTCTTTCTTATGTCAATATCAAATATATCTTTTCCATAAAACATGCCATTAAAAGTTAGAAACCATTTTTTCTTTTTCTTTCTTTTTTTTTTTATTGGGGAACAGTGTGTTTTTCCAGGACCATCAGCTCCAAGTCAAGTAGTTGTTTCAATCTAGTTGTGGAGGACGCAACTCATTGGCCCCCCATGTGGGGATCCAACTGGCAATGTTGGTGTTAAGAGCACTGCACGCTAACCAACTGAGCTAACTGGTTGCATCCCATTTTTTCTTAATTAGCTTAACTTTGTTTCCCACATTCTTATACCGAGGGTGCCAAAATATGTGTACACATTTTTTTTTTAAAGATTTTTATTGGGGAATTGGGGGGATGGGAACAGCGCTGGGGAATTGGGGGAGGGGGAACAGACAAGTTGCTGTCGTTTTTTTGGTCTTCAGTCTAGTTGTGGAGGACGTTGCTTCACTGGCCCAAGTTGGCACCATCATTGCGTTCTTCCCGGGCGAGGCAGATCAGTCGCCGGCTTCAGGACGGCCGCTCACTGCAGCTGCTGGCCGCTCACGCTGGCTGCTGGCTACACACGGTAGTCCATGGCAACCGACTGCCACAAGGGCTGCAGCCTACAGCCGTTGCCGGCGACTCACAGCAGCCCAGCTCCAGGTTGAGCTGTTGTTCAGCATCTTAGCTATGGAGGGCAGTGTCACTGGCCCTCATATGTGGGATCCGAACCGGGGCCCTCTGGCATCCCAAGCCAGTTCTTAACCATCACGCCACTCGGCCGGCCCATGTGAACACATTTTAAGAAAGGAAAACTATTAAAATTGTAATACTCAATATATACTGATAACAAAAGATGAATACAAGTCATGTGTGACTTCTGCAATTACAAGAGGTGCTCAAAGTGGTTACCTTCAGCATAATTTTAATACAGTTTTTTCCTTTCTTAAAATGTATACACGGCCAAGTGGCGCACTGGTTAAGAGTTGGCTTGGGATGCCAGCTCTGAGCAGCAGGGCCCTGGTTCGGATCCCACATGAGGGCCAGTGACCCTGCACCCTTTACAGCTAAGATGGTGAACAACAGCTCAACCTGGAGCTGGGCTCCCATGAGTTGCCAGCGATGGTGTAGGCTGTAGCCCCTGCTGCAGTGGGCTGCCATGCACTACCTGAGTGGTTGGCAGCCAGCATGAGTGGCCAGCAGCTGGCGTGAGCTGCCATGAGCCACCGTGAGAGGCCGTCCAATGACTGGCAACTGATCTGCCTCACCCGGGAAGAGCACAATGATCACAATACCAACATGGACCAGTGAAGCGACGTCCTCCACAACTAGACTGAAGAACAAAAAAGGACAGCAACATGTTCCCCTGCCTTGATTCCCCAACGCCGTTCCCTCCCCCAATTCCACAAAATCTAGAAAAAAAAATTATGCACATACATTTTTTGGGCACCTGCTGTATTATTAATTTGATTATCAAATTATTTTTTTCCTTGAGCAAAAGTAGAAATTTATAGTAGAGTCCAAAATAATGAGGTTTAATAGGATTTAGCTATTCTCTTTAAATAAAAGACATGTAATCTTTAACTTCTAAATAGTTTCTAAACTATTTCTAAACTATGAAAATTACAACGTCCTATGGAAAATCTCTTATTGTGATCTTTTTCTCTTACACTTAACACTTTGAAGATAACATTAAAGTCAGAAAGTTGCTTCAAAGGCTGCTCAAGTTACAAAAAAGGGTGTCATAAACAATGATTCTATAGCCCAGAGAACTTGTCAATGAAATTCAGGTCCATTTTTAAACTTCACACAAAGAATGACCTTAAAAAACGTTATTGCTAAGAGGCAATCATGTTTAAATATGTAAAGAACACATAATAGCTACATGTAAATGTGAAGAAATTCCTTGTATATATATGGTGATTGAAAAACCACTTAATATCGTGCTTTTACTTTTTTTACAGACATTTATTAACAGAGCACAATTTGTATTAATATTTACATGCTTGTTACTTGACTATGTAGATTTAATAAAATTTCCTCCTAACAATTATTGCAGTGCCCTCTACTGATGAAATAATCTTAAGTAACACAGGATGTCTTTGAAACATCATCTAATAATATCTTAAACTATCAAGGTGGGATATGATTAGAGCAGTGGTTCTCAAACTTAGTGTGCATCAGAATCTCCTAGAGGCCTTGTTAAACACTGAGTGCTGGGTTCCACCCAGAGATCTGGATTCAGAATGTCTGATTGGGGCCTCAAAATTTGCATTCCTAGTATACGTGCTGTGGAAGCTAGCACAAAACTTGCATTCCTAATAATTTGCCAGGTGATGCCTGTGATGCTGGTCAGAGGACTACACTCTAAAAAACACACTGTAGATGGAAGTATGTAGATGGAAGTAATGAGGTGGAATGAATAACATGTACCTCTTGACCTAATCTTCATGATCACCTTATATTTAACTTTGTAAAGGAGTTTGAAATAAATGTGAGGATTCTTCATAAGAGCGAAATGTAGACCTAGTGACAAGATAAATTAGGTAA